ATTCACCCAAGTGAAAAAACACGTGTATATATCAAACCACATACACATGCGATATACTGTGCAAAACCATGCATGTGAAACACTCTACTGTGCTAAAAACTCATGACACAGTGCACACTTCTATCAGGGTGAGGAGTGAATACCCTTACCAATATTCAAAGCAATTTATGTTTTTGATCTCAATCCACAGAAATTGCCTGGTGATATAAATCCTTTTGAAGATGTCCTCAGGGTTTGCTTTGATCCTATGATATTGTATGGATCCTTCCACCCTAGCAACTCAGATATGTCTCCACCACCATATACGCCAGTCGCATACCCATATATAAGGAATAAATCATAGCGTGATACTGCCACATACTAAGATCCAAAAACTTTTAATTATCCTGCTTACATTAAAAACATCTTTCCATCGCACATAGTATATAAAGACCTGTCTGCCATCCAGAATCCAGGAGAGTCCTAATCGCAAGTCACAGCCGATTTTTTGCCCTCTCCAAGATGGCCGCCACTCCACTTCCGGTATTCTCGTATGCGTCTGACGTCACCTCCCTTTGACGCGTTTCGTCATTGGATCATTATGATTACGTCCAATGACAAAACGCGTCAAAGGGAGGTGAAGTCAGACGCATACGAGAATACCGGAAGTGGAGTGGCGGCCATCTTGGAGAGGGCAAAAAATCGGCTGTGACTTGCGATTAGGACTCTCCTGGATTCTGGATGGCAGACAGGTCTTTATATACTATGTGCGATGGAAAGATGTTTTTAATGTAAGCAGGATAATTAAAAGTTTTTGGATCTTAGTATGTGGCAGTATCACGCTATGATTTATTCCTTATATATGGGTATGCGACTGGCGTATATGGTGGAGACATATCTGAGTTGCTAGGGTGGAAGGATCCATACAATATCATAGGATCAAAGCAAACCCTGAGGACATCTTCAAAAGGATTTATATCACCAGGCAATTTCTGTGGATTGAGATCAAAAACATAAATTGCTTTGAACATTGATAAGGGTATTCACTCCTTACCCTGATAGAAGTGTGCACTGTGTCATGGGTTTTTAGCACAGTAGAGTGTTTCACATACACGGTTTTGCACAGTATATCGCATGTGTATGTGGTTTGATACATACACGTGTTTTTTTTCACTTGGGTGAATATTATCGGATTGATTTCACATGTAAATTTTTATTTATAAAGGATAATGCACTACGTATTTTTTGTTTTGTTTTTTTGAGGTAATCAAGGTTTTGCAAGCAGCGGAGAGTTTTTACACTTGAATCAATTTTTTTGGACTACACGTATTTATTTATTTATTTTATTGTGATATTGGACTTTAATTGAAATTGGACTTTAATTTGAAAATTATAGATTTTTGATTTTTGAAATTATTATATAATGAATGGTTCCTTTTATTAATTGTCACTGAGCATATCTATATTTTACACTTGTAAATGTGTGTAAATGCGGCTAACCGCGTTTATAAGCGTTTGCATTTAGAAGCGTTTTTTAACTGTTCCATATCCAGATGCTGTCCGGAGCCTTTTTTCATCATCAGGAATGCATGTAAAGCGTTTTCCATGTATTCCAATGGACCCGGTACACCAGCGCAGTCAGTTCCAGGTTTTGCGTGAAGAAAATGGTAGAACGTGCCGCATTATGCTCATGATGGGATCCATAGTGACTACAACCAGAAAAGACAGGTCATCTCCACACATACTGCTCTCTCTGCTTCTGTTCTCTCTATTCCTCTCAAAATGTCTGAAATAGTTAATTTTTTACTATTTTTCAGTGCATTCTGGGCATTTGGGAAGGTCTCCTGAGGGTATCTTAAAAAAACGCTTATAAACACAAACGCTCATAAACGCGGTATGCAAACGCGGCTAAACAGACGTTTTTTTAACCTACGTTTTCCAGCAGTCAGTTTCCATCGTTCAGAAGAGTTTTCCAAATGTCCCCGTGTACATGAACCCTTACTGTGATTGACAGCAGCGGGAGCCAAAGAGAAGAGGGAGTCCCGGGTTAGCCGAGACTCCAGTGCACATCGCTGGATCGAGAGGGGGTTAGGTGTGTATTAGGATTGAATAGGGTACCTTAAAGGGTTAAGTGGAAGTAAACATTACTCAAAAAAATGAAACAGAATCTATACTAAAGTAATAATGTTACTTTGTATCTCTCTATAATGAGTGTTATGTTTTGCATCAGCTGGGGGGGGGGGGGGGGGGGGAGGCGATTATAATTTTTTAAAGCGCAGCTCCACCCAAAAGGGGAAGTTCCACTTTAAGACTTTGTAATCCGCTCCTCATTAAGGATTGGAATCTTTGGGGAGAAGCAGATACCTGAATTTAACAGGTACCCGCTGCCACTTCTGCTGCAATCGCCTAGGTGATCGAAAGCGGAAGTTGTCCTCCCTCCCTCCCTGTAGTCTTCCGGGATACGTGACAGGTCCCAGAAGACTGCGGGGCCATTCAGAAAGCGCAGCGCTACTCGCGCATGCGCAGTGGGCACCCGGCTGTGAAGCCGCAAACTGTCACAGCTGGGTGCCCACACTGAAGGTACCGGAACCATGGAGAGAAGACGGCCGGTGAAACCAGCTGTGGTGGGGACACCGCCGGACCGAGGGACAGGTAAGTGGCTGTATTTTAAATGTCAGCAGCTACAGTATTTGTAGCTGCTGACTTTTAATTTTTTTTTTTTTCAGGTGGAACTCCGCTTTAAATTCTTGTCTGGAGTTTTAAATCGCCAGATAAAAATTTAAATCTTGAAAGACTTGACAAGTGAAGAGTCATTACCAAATGAGAATGATACCATTTTTACTGTAGAACAGGAAGTATGTAACTGGCAGGATCACCAATAAAAATACAATTATTATTATTATACAGTATTTATACAAGTGCCAATAGTTCGCTCAGCGCTGTACATTATAAAGGGGGACAGAACATGTGACAGAACAATACCAATACAATGCAAAACATGAGGGGATTGAGGGCCCTGCTCTTTGGAGCTTACAATCTAGGAGGGAGTGGATGGTGGCACAGGAGGAGACAGCTGTGGGGGGATGGTGGTGGTAGGAAGAGTGGAGGAGGTCGGCAATTAGCAGGGGGTGGGGTAGGCTTCCCTGAAGAGATGGGTTTTCAGGGTTGCGCCTAAAGGAGAGGAGAGTAGGTGATAATCTGATGGGTTGGGGCAGGGAGTTCCAGAGGATGGGTGACACCCTGGAGAAGTCCTGGAGGCGGACATGGGAGGAGGAGACCAGGGAACTAGAGAGAAGGAGGTCTTGTGAGGAGCGGATTGAAAAAAAGAATACAAATACAACCGCCACATCTATGGACAGGTCAATTGTGATAGAATATATTTTTGTTATTGGGTTTCGATATACTTTCTTCCTTCACTTCTTGTTCAGGCCTAACAAATAATTGCCAGAATGAGATCAGGTTTGATCTCCTGTGCAACATTTTTGTTTTTGGATTTAGATTCTCTTCAAAATGCACCTGTTGCTTTATTCTGCATGTGCAAACACACGTTCACACAGGCAATTACTTCTGTGCCTCACACAGGGCAGTTTTTTATGCTGGCATGGGGATGCACAGGTATTGCGGGCCTCCCTGTGATGGAAGTCCCATAGATGGGGGCAGCACAGTGGCTAAATGGTTAGCACTTCCGCCAGGCAGTACTAGGGGTCGTTGGTTCAAATCCAAACCATGGCACCACTCCTGCATGGAGTTTGCATGTTCTCCCTGTGCCTGCGTGGGTTTCCTCTGGGTACTCCTCGGTTTCCTCCCACACTCCAAAGACATGCTGGTAGGTGAATTGTCTTCTGTTAAATTGTCCCTAGTATGTGTATGTATGAATGTAAGTTAGGGACCTTAGATTGTACGCTCCTCGAGGGTTAGGGACTGATGTGAATGTACAATATATATGTAAAACGTTCTGCGTAAACTGACGGCGCTATATAAGTACCTGAAATAAATAAATAAATGTCTATTAGGGACACAAGTCTGCATGAACACAACTGCTGTGTCCCAATATGTCATCTGTGTGGGTCCACAAACTCTCAGTGGGTGTGTTTGGGGCCGTACACCTGAACAAATGTCACATTGGGACACAGCGACTGTGTCTGTGTAGCCACCTGTCCCTACAGACGTCTATGGGACTGCTGGCATGTGGATGCACCTATGCATCGGCTTGGACACGGAAGTGATCACCCATGTGAATGAGGTCTAGATCAGGACAGGGATGCAACAAGCATCAAAAACTGCTTAGAATGAACTCTACAACACTGAATTCAAAAAGAAGCATACAGTGCCCTCTTGTGAGAAATCCAAGATACTGCAGTACCTCAAAAGTTCCATTCAGCCTGGGGTTCACCCCAGTGCGGTGCGGGAAACGGTACAAATCCTGTGCATTTCCCGCACCGCATTGCAATCACGTTCATGCGATCTGGTGCGGGTGTCCGTAATAAATTAATGACACTCCGAATCAGATTGCAAAACGTGATGCGATTGCCAGAAATCGCATCGCATGGGTAAGAACACCCATGCGATGCGATTCAGGTGCGGATTAAAAAAAAAAAAAAAAAAAAAAAAAAAAAGAGTCCTGCACCTTTTTGGTGCGGATGCGATTTGAGCCAAAGTATATGGCTCAAATCGCAACAAACAGACATTTGCATGCAATTCGCATAGCAATGCGGTGCAATTCCTGTGCGAGTTCCATGCAATGTCCCGCACCGCGTAGTGTGAACCCGCTGTCACAGATTAGGAACTGAAAATTACAACTTATATAAGGGATATTGAAGTCGTTTTAACCACCTTCTGCCCGCCCTATAGTACAATGACAGGCGCAAGGTGGTTCCCTCGTTCTGATAGGAGAATGTATGACGGCCTACCATTCTCACTGCGCATGCGCGGCTCAGGGAGCGCGCAGCGCTGCGATTGCTGGTGCGCTGTGGTGGCCCCTCGGACACAGCGAATCACGGAAAGAGTCGAAGATGTGGGCTCGGTCATATGATCAGCTGTGTCCAATCACAGCTCATCACATGTAAACACGGAAATGCCTGTTATCGGCATTTCTCTCCTCTCGAGCTGTCACGCTGACAGAGGAGAGCCGGTAAATCGGCTTTCCGCGGAGGGGGGACATGTACACTGATCATCAGGGCACTGATGATCAGTGTGCCCTGATGATCAGTGTGGCCCCAGAAGTGCCACCTCTCAGTGCCCATCAGTGCCACATGCCAGTGCCCATCAGTGCCACATATCAGTGCCCATCTGAGCTGCCTTTCAGTGTCACCCATCAGTGCCAGTCAGTGCCACCTATCAGTGTGCATCAGTGTCGCCTATCAGTGTGCATCAGTGCCAGTCAGTGCCGCCTAACAGTGCCCAGTCAGTGTCGCCTATCAGTGGCAGTCAGTGACGCCAATCAGTGGCAGTCAGTGACGCCAATCAGTGGCAGTCAGTGACGCCAATCAGTGGCAGTCATGACGCCAATCAGTGGCAGTCAGTGACGCCATCAGTGGCAGTCCAGTGACGCCAATCAGTGGCAGTCAGTGACGCCATTCAGTGGCAGTCAGTGACGCCAATCAGTGGCAGTCAGTGACACCAAATCAGTGCCGCCTATCAGTGTATAACATGTATCAGTGCTGCTTTTTCAGTACCCATTCAGTGATGCCTGTCAATGCTCATCAGTGCCACCTATCAGTTTTTCCATCCAGTGCAGGCCTATCATACCCATCACTGCAGCCTCATTAGCTGCACATCAGTGAAGGAGAAAAATCAATTTTATATTTACAAAAAATTGTATAACAAAAACTAAGAAATTTTTTTTTTTCTAATTTTTCAGTGGTTTTTGGTTTGTTTAAGAAAAAATTAAAAAATCCCCGAGGTGATTATAAGTGCCACCAGAAGAAAGCTCTGTCTCAAAAAAATGCTAAAAATTTCATAGGGTACAGTGTTGCATGACCGCCGCGCAATTGTCATTCAAAGTGTGATAGCGCTGAAAGCTGGAAATTGGCCTGGACCGGAAGGGGGTATAAAAGTGTCCTGTAGGCTTAGTGGTTAAAGGCTCAAGTTTTTTTTACCTTCATGCATTCTATGTTTGCAGCAGCTTCCCAAAAATTACCTGAGCCCCATCTCGATTCAGCGATGTTGCACGAGAGCCTCGGCTGTCCATTTGCTCCTGCAACTGTCAATCACAGCCAGTGAGCCAATGAGGGGCGGGGCTGAGAAATCAGGGGGCAGGGCTGAGACGCATCCGTATGTGAATGGACACATGCTTGCTGTGGGTGCACTTGGCAGGAGGGAGGGGGGGCCAGGAGTGCCGGCGGGGGACCCGCAAAGAGAAGGTTCAGGGATGCTCTGTGCAAAACCATTAAAACACAGCAGCAGGGGCGTCCATAGAGTTGGGTGTCACCCGGTGCAGTAACACCCCCTCTGACAACCCCGCAGAATGGATCGGATCTGCGGATTGAGCATAATAGAATAGGACTCCGATCCCATTATGCTCCCCAATCCGCAGATCCGGTCCATCCTGCGGGGATCGTCGGCTTTCTTTACAACTTACCTATTCGTGGAGCGGGTCCGTTGTCACCCCGTGCGGTAGGTGTCACCCGTGTCATGTTTGTCATGTATGACGTGTTTGTTATTTTTTTTTTTTTTAATCTGCATTTACAACCACTTTAAAAGCACTATTGCTGATAAATTAAAAAAACTTTCCAAAAACGGTTTCCCTGCAAATAAATATGAGCTGTATCAAAAGCCCCGGAAGATTTTATAGAAACTGACATTTCCAGAATTGTAGATTTGTTTGGTCCCCCAATGCACTCTGTGGAGCCTCCTGCTGGCCTCTACATCACTATTGGACAATCCATCATACCCGGAGTAAGTATCAGTCTCAGAAGTGTTCTTTTGGCAGCTGTTTCTTTTCAGTACAGTCCAAATCAGGGGAGCGGGTGGCAGGAAAGGTATTTATTATCTCTGCAGGAACATTTTTTTTTTTTTGGTGGTGTTGGTGGGGGGTGATGGTGGGGATGTTTGTAAGACTTTCAAACTGGCGACAGAGGCGTTGACCGGACCTCTTACCTTTAAAGTGATTCTAAAGGCTTTTTTTTTTTGCTTCTTTTTTTAAATACCAAAAATGTCTATTCTTACCTCCTGTGTGCAGTGGTTTGCACAGAGCAGCCCAGATCCTCCTCTTCTTGAGTACCCCTCTGGGGCTCCTGGTCCCTCCTTCCTTATCGGGTGCCCCCAGAGCAAGCAGCTTGCAATGGGGGCTCCTGCTGATCTGTGTATCCATACACACAGGGAGCCGTGGCTTGGCCCCCTCTCCCTCTCTCTTCTCATTGGCTCTCTGGCTGTGAATGACAATAGCTCCAGCTTCTGTCTCAGCCAATGAGGAGAGGGCGTCCCGATATAGCCGAGACTCCAGTGCACTTTGCTGGATCGAGAGGGGACTTAGGTGTGAGTATTAGGGAGACTGGGGGCGATGCTGCACAGAATAGATTTTTTTACCTTCATGCGTAGAATGCATGAGGATAAAACACCTTGAGCCTTTACAACCTCTTCAACTACTAGAGGAATTATCTACAACTTTACATGAGATATATAGAATTATGGAAATACTGAAGTGTAACCCAGTAAAGGGTGTCTAAAACAATGAGAAAAGATGGCAGCTGCTCATCTAAAGTAGAACTACAAGCAAAACCTTTTTTTCTTTCATTTTGGATAGAATAAGGGAGGATTTCCAACCTCTGTTAATGTCTTTTTTTTTGCCTGCGTCTCCTTGGGAGATTTCCCTTCACTTCCTGCTCCATAGCCAAAAGAGAAAGTGAGAGGAAATCCCTTCAAAGTGGGGGGAATCTATGGACGCCTCCAGAATGAGTTTTCCCCTCTTTTCCTATGCTGGAGACAACCCAAAATTAGTTTGTTTTTGTTTTTTACTTTCACTTTTGGTGATTGAGAAGGTGAATCTCCCTGATGGGGGCAAAGACAGCAATAAAAACTGGACAGGGGTTCTAATTCCTCTCCACAACTAAAAAAAAAAAGTTTTGCCCTTAGTTATACTTTAACCTCCCTGGCGGTATGATTATTTCAGATTTTTGGTGCTGAAAGCAGTACCATTATTTTGCATGGAAATATGTCGTTTTTTTTTTATTGTAGGCTGTAATTTGTAGGAATAACTCACTGAAATCTGTCCGAACAAGAGTCTAGTAAACATCCCGGGTATGATAAAATTTGAAACACGAAATCATAAATTATAATTTAATAAATAATCACATAAACAATAATAAATTTAATTCAATAATATAATCAAACCAAAAACACTGAATTATGAAATATAGCGCCAATGTTCGCACATCGCTGAGCAAAGTCGCAGAATCGTTTTCAGTGTCTGATGATGAATTTCCCCCACAAATCATTATCACTCAATTCTGCAAGTGGTTCTGATTTACTATCGCTGTTCTCTAGCCGGTCTAAAACCGCTTTTGACCTAAAGGGACGCTTTTTGGACGCCCTATGGACGTTTCTCAGTTTCCAGGCAGAAAGAACAGTAAAAATGCAGGCAGGGCGCCCGAACAAAGCACTCGGGACAAAATGTATGTGAAATGGGTTGAAACAGAAAATGTTTTTACTATGTAAATTTTGTTTGGAAAAAAATGACATTTTTAAAAAAATTTCACATTTCCCACCGCCGGCGCCCGTACGTCCCGATGTCACAGGGACCGGAACACAGAAGCCGGATGCTGGCATCGGCCGGAGGAGATGGCCGGGGGACACTGCAGCGGACACATCGCGGGAGTAAAGGACAAGGTAAGCTCTGCAGGGAATCCCTATGCAGCGCCACATGGTAAGCCCGAGAGTAGCTCGGGGTTACCGCTTTTGGTACTGACATTTTACCCCGAGCTACACTCGGGAATACTGCCAGGGGGGTTAACTAGAGGTGCATATGAGGGGAGGACAGAGACTTTTAGTAAATATGGAAAGCGGATTCCTGCAATCTATTGTGTGATGGATCCTGCACTTACTTGAGGGTCAGGCATTTCACCAGAAGCCTCTGACCAAAATGTTCTTTTGGTACTTCGGGAACACTGAGGCGCTCAATAGGTTCATCCTAGAAATCAAACAAGTTCACAATTACTTGACGTATCACTGACCTTTGCTAAAGCAAGAAAAAAAAAAAAAAGTGCTTAACCACTTCCCCACGACCGGACAGGTGGCAGTGCAGGGTCGGATGGCCGTTTATAAACGGCCTCCACACGCCCTGCTTGTGCGCGCTCCCTGGGAGTGCGCAGCACCGCGATCCGGTGCCCGCTGTGTCCTCCGGACACAGTTGAAACACCGATCGTCGGACAGGACCTCTGTACGAGGTCCCGATCATGTGATCACTGATTGGCCAATCAGTGATCACATGCAAAGTAGTAAGCAAGATGTCACTTCTGACATCATTGCTTACTACGTGTGAAATCTGTGAATGATCACAGAGAATCACATGGTACAAGGCTATTCACAACAGCCTTGTACCATGTGATAAGCTGTGACCAATCACAGCTCACTCAGTACTTCTCAATGAGTGCAAGAATGCAGACAGAGAGAAAGAGAAATGATTCCTTTTTCATCCTATATGGGTGTAAAAGCAATCAGTGTAAAAAAAATAAATAAATAAATCCTCATCACCCCCACAAGTAGTACAGTGTCACCATTGGTGACACTGTTCTGCTAGGGTGACAGAATATATAAAGAAAAAATAAAAATAAAAAATAATATAAAAAAAAATAAAAATAAAAATGTAAAAAAAAAATGTTTAAAAATTATCACTTTTGGTTATAGACTAATTTGGATTATTGTTTTTTACTAAAAAGATAAACGGAATAAATTTTGGCAAAGATTTATGATGAAATATTATTTATTTGAAAAATTTTATTAAAAAAAAAACACTTTTTTTCAAACTTTGACTTTTTCATTTTACATAGCAAAAAAAATAAATATCCCAGTGGTGAATAAATACCACAAAAAATAAAGCTTTATCTGTGTCATAAAAATGATAAAAAATTCATTTGGGTACAGTGTTGCATGACCGCGCAATTGTCATTCAAAGTGTCATAGCGCTGAAAGCTGAAAATTGCCCTGGTCAGGAAGGGGGTAAAAGTGTCTGGACTGGACATGGTTAAAGAACAGGTCTGGCCAAAAAATAACACATTCAATACATGTCTGCAATAGATACACATTTCCCCATGTGCTGCGGCATTGCAACGATTACAAAACTGACAGTTACAGCTATGACTTGCGGAGGCATGATGGAACTTGTAGTCCTGCAGCTCTCAGGTTGCCTACCCCTGGGCTAGGCAGATCAGACGCACGCATGGTCAGGTAGGTGCAAAGGGGCTCGTGGGAATCTCAGAGTCGTAAACCGAACATAAATAGAAAGATATAAAAGTGAGCG